GAAGGGATATTTATTAAAGTCAGTCTTTACTAGGCCTGTGTGATATTACGATAGTCAGAAATATATATTTTGGTCTTCGTCTCAGCTCCAGGTCAGAACTCCTAACACCCTTGTAATTTCCTAAGTGATAAGAACCATAGAAACGTCTTTTGTTGTAATATTTGGGTTTTACCATGGTTCCTGAACCAGCTCTGAAAACAGCTCTAAAGTAGTAAAGGTGGTGTCCTTTGTTTTTTAAAACAAATGCCTTTCAACCACACCTGAGTTTATTATGTTAAGGAGGTGTCTTTAGGAAAGCCTCTAAGGGTGGGGACTGGATGCCAGGGGAACTGATCCTGTGATTGAGGGGTTGGAACTTTTAGCCCAGCCCCTGGCCTCTGGGGAAAGGAGCTGGAGTTTGAGCTCATCACCAATGGCCAATGATTTAATCACCTTGTCTACCTAATGAAACCTCTATAAAAAAGCCCTAACTGAAAAGCTTTGGAGAGTTTCTGGATTAGTGAATAAGAACACATCCATGTTCGGGGCAGGTGGTGCATCTCAAACTCCCTAGGTGAGGCAGTACAGTAAGAAGTTAAGGAAATTCCTTGGCAGGTGGAATGGGGAAATTGAGACAGCTGATTTAAAACTGGCCTCATCTAGCACCCTGACTCACTTGCCTCCTCCTCCCTTGCATGACTACTCCCTTAAACATTAAGCCCTCAGAACAAGTGAGGTACTGATCAGCATCAAATAATCTTAGGAACAAAGCCTTGGGTCTGTTGACCACAGAGACAGAGTTTTGGTTAAATTAGAGATAAAGTCTAGGCCTCAGTTGTATTTCAGTACCAGGTCCAGAAAAGCAGCAAAACCAGATGAAGCGATGCCATGGCTGACATCATAACAGGACACAGCCAGGGCCCCCCCAAGGGGATTTGTAACGGGGTCCAGAAATTGGGATGTCCAAGAAAAATATAGAATATTCTTACCTCCCCCTCAAGGTGGGCTGCCATGGGGGATGGGAGACAGGGAGGAGGGCCAATGACAGTCATTTTGCATGTCAATAACAGGCTGAGGGCTATTGAGAGTTACTGTGCATGTAAATAGAATAGCTTTGTACTTCATATGCAACGATGGTTATTTTGCATATCTACAAGGCTAACCAGGAAGGTTTGTGTAACTTTAACCCTGAAGGGAACTGGGAAGCAGCCCCCCCCAGCCCCGCCCCCTCCGCCGCAGTTACAGCTACAGCTACAGTGTCTGCCTAAGACGTTCGAGATGGGGTTGCAGGGGAGGATTCACACAGATGTTAAAAACCCAGGCGTGGCAGCCATGGTAGAGGCTTTTTGACCATGCAGCTTAGGAAGTAGGATGTAACTGGGAAGTGGGGACAGGGCCTGCGAGAGAGAACATGGGACACAGACTCTGGGGAACAATGTGAAGACCATGCAGGAGGGAAAGGGGAGAAAGGACTCTGGCTAGTGGGCCATGAGAAGGTGCTGCGTGGTTTTGGATTAAGAGCTGGAGATTGTGGCGACACAGCTGATGGCGCTGGGAACTGTGCGAGGCCTGCCTAGCTGAGCCCCAGACTTACGTTATTTTTCTTCTGAAAGACGGTACCTGTGACTGGCCTGACTAGGCAAAGGGGAGAAGGCACAACTGTGTGTGTTGGTGGCTGTTTTAAAGGGATTTTGAATTTTTAACAGTGACATTTAACCATTATTCAAAACTTGTATAACTTTCGAATAGTTCTTTTCCTTTTCACCAAACTCTGCCATTGGGAGCCATAATTTTTAAGGGCAGCGGGCAAAGGACTTAGAATTGAGGGACCCCAGGGAAAGGGGGGGGGCGTTGTTCCAGTAATAGCATCTGAGGCTCCCCCTACAGTGGGGCCATTGTTCAGTAACATCAGGACCAGATGTAATGACCGATGACCTCCTATCATAACACCAACCAATCAATAGAGACCATGACCCTGACCCTATATTATACACTCATTTTGGTAGATGAGCATATTAAAGAACACACCTGGAAAGCTGATGAATATTCTATTGAGATCCTCCTGAGACCTCCCCTAAAATTCCCCCCTCCAGAAAACAGATAAAAACTCTTAAGACAAAGGACCTGTGTATGTGTCCACTCCCAGGGGTACTCGCTTTCTCTGTTTTTCTCTCTCCAGTATGCCCATGCCTTCCCCCTCTTCTTTCCTAAGGAGCTTCTCCAAGAGCCCTTTTTTTTCCCTCAGTAACTCGTCCCCTGGGTCCATACTGCTCAGCTGGCTCACTTTTTCTGTCTCTGTGACTCTCCAAAGGGCTAAGGCAGCCACACTTAGGCTTGACTCTTCCTCAGGTTTCCAAAGGGCCAAGACAGCTCGCTCAGGCTCACTCCTGTTGCTGATTTTGCCTCTTCTACCTCAAGCCCTCCCTTTGTTTCACTGTCTCTGGCTTTAATAAATGTACTCTCAAAATCACCTGGACTTCATACTGTGAAATCTTTCCTGCATGAAGTCAAGAACCAAGAGCCCAGAATGTCAGTAACATAGGGACAGAAGCTCCTATCTTGGGACATCACCCTATGTATCTCTTCATCTGGCTGTTCATCCGTATTCTTTAATATGTCCCTTGAAGTAAATCAATAATAGTAAGTAAACTGTTTCTCTGGGTTCTGTGAGCCTTTATAGCAAATTATCAAACTGGAGGGGAAGCATATGGAAACCTATTTGTAGCCAAATCTGATAGATGTTGCGAGTGACCTGGGTGTGTCTGAAATGGGGGCAGTCTTTTGGGATTGAGCCCTTAACCTGTGGCCTCTGTGTTGACTCTTGGTAGTGTCAAACCTGAGTTAAACTGTAGGATACCTGGTCTGGGACCACAGAATTGTTTGACTGGTATGGAAAACCCACACTTCTGTTTGAAGTGTTCTGCATGTAGAAATAAAAGCTTTCCTTTCAGCCTGCAAAATCAGCGTGGTCTGGTTCCACCCAACTTGGCCATCACCTCTTGCTCCTCCTCTGCTTCAGCCACATCCACTCCTTGTGGTTGGCTCCTTAGTCTTCTTAATGAGAATTCCAGCTCCACAAGGAAAACTTCCAGTCATTCCTGCTCAGTTCAGCCTCATAGTACTGGAGTGCTTCCATACAGCCTTCCTTCTCTTCACTGACTGTAGTCTACCCCAGTCCCAAAACAGGCAGAAACCATGTCTGATTCGTCCCCATCAGGGCCTGGGGCTTATTAGACTCTCAAGATGGATTTATGGAACTGAATGAGAGAATCAGACATATTCATCAAATATCTCCACGGCTTTCATAGGAAGGGTTATCTTGGAAGGTTACAGAAGGAAAAACTTGGACAAGAGATCTTTCAGGTAGATGTTTCTGCTAAACTGCAGGTATTGGGTTGGCCACAGGTTCCCCCCACCCCCCCAAGATGGCTCTGGTAGTGCTCAGTTGTCTTTAACTTCATCCAAAACAATTTTGTTAGATTGTATTGTTACAGCTGTCATATCATTGTGCTTTAAGAAAAAAAAATTGTGAATTTTTACAGCCATTTTAATATTGATGGAAAAAATATGCAACATTTTCAGCATATTGGGTTTTATTATTTCAAGAAAGATAAAAATGCAACTGAAATGCAAAAAGAAAAAAAAAAAGGTTGTGCAGTGTATGGAGCTGCTATGACTGATCAAACATGTGACAAGTGGTTTGCAAAGTTTTGTACTGGAGATTTCTTGCTGAGTTAATCAGGTACACCAGTGGAAGTTGATAGCGATCAAATTAAGACACTAACTGAGGGCAACTGTTATACCACACAGGAGATAAGGCAATATACTCAAAATATCCAAATCGATGGTTATTGGTGAAAATGAAAAGTATCTTTTATTTTACAGAAAATACCATACGGACTTTTGGCCAACACAATTTAAAAAACAAACCAACTCAAACCCTTAAAACTGTGTGTCCACCCATCCGTAGAGCAGCTGATCAAAGCTCAGCATTCCCAGGCAGGGGCTGGATGGCCACACTGATGAGAAGTTTGGACAAAAAAAGGGCCATATACTAAACCTGACAAGTTCAGCAGATGCCTGCATAGTAGACCTTACAAACTCAAGAGGCCTGGAGTAACTGCACAGGATGGTCTAAAATTAAAACTGCCTAAAGGCAAGGTCATGGTGAGTACTCATATCTTAGGCCTGTCTTAACAAAGGTCTATCTTTAACTATTAATAAGAGTCTATTGTCCTTTTGCATCTACCATAACATACCTTTGGAATATTAGACTAATTCCCTTTTATCCAGACGCTTCAGGAGTCTTCCACCAAAGTACCCAATCAGGAACCCTTCATTGTTATCTTGTTGCCCAATATGCTGTATCTCTATGTGTTGTAAATGTTTACTGTCCTATACCCACTAAAGTAAAAATACTTGTCTGATTTTACTCTTTACTCAATCTCAAATTTCCCAGCTTTGCTTTTTCCTGCCTCCTTAACCTCCACCAATGAATTTAATGTAACCTTTCTTATGCCTCCTCGTTTGATATATAATGTATGGAATAAACTGCAAAACTGTTATTCTCCAGAACATTTCCTCAATTTGTTAAGATTTTGCTTCCCAGTAATTGTCATTAGTTTGGTTTACATAAACTCATAAAAATTCTCTACAGGTTTGGACATTTCTGACATCAAGAATGTTGCACAATCGAAAACAAGACCAGGTTACCTCCAATCCTTCCTAGTGTACAAGAATGTTCTATGCTTTCCATGGATTCCACAGAGATCATACAGAGAGCAACTGCCAACTGAATTCCCTAGGGAGATCCATAGCATTTTGGCTTTCTTCATATTCACAAACAAAACAGCTCTTCTAGCCTTATCTACCTCTTTCAGAACACCACCAAAGGCAGAAGATGAAAAGGGCCTTCAAAGGAAGTCCAGGAAAGCCTGCATTATGATATGGAGACAGAATTGAGACCAACAGATACCAGTATTTAGATTTTCATTTTATTAAAAATTTAAACCACAGAAACAGAATGTACAAACAATGAGAAAATGGGGAAATGATCAGGTAGGAGAAAAAAGATTTACATAAGCAGGGTGGGTGGTATCCTTAATTACCTTATGAACCCCTCTCACCCCCCTTCCTGCAGGAAACCAAGCTGTGTCATTAGATGGTAGAGGGGTTGACACCTTTTTCTGCCCGCACGATTTCTCCACTCACAGAAGCCTAGCTATACCTGCCGGACAGAGTTCAGTAAAACACTACCAATGCCTTGAACTTGCTCTTTAGCCAAAGTGGCAAAGCATAAGGACATAGAATTCAAGCCAAAAAGGCAATAGTTCTCCTAACACCCTTATATGCTCAGTCACTTAAAAGACAGTGGGTATCTTGTACACACCAGACTCCATCCAGGATGAAGTGGAAGCAAACCTCAAACGGTGGGTTACTGAGCAGCTGAAATAGAAAACTTTTTTCAACACAGACAAATCATGCCCATCCATGATGGGGAGAAAAGAAGAAAGGGTGATCTATATAAATAACAACAATCTCAAGCCCAGCAGACTTGGGGAAGCCAGATGGTTCAGCTGCCAGCCCTGGCCCCACACTGTGTGTCCCCCAGTGGTTTGGTTTGGTGTCCTTGAAGCACAAAGTGAAGTTAGCACTGGAATTAATTCCCAGCCAGAATGAGGAGACTGCTGTGGAGGCTCAGAACTGCTGGAGGATCATCTTCTGCTTAAGGTCACGGCTAAACTTGTTCATCCGAAAGAGCTCACTGTCATAAAAGGCAGAGAGGTTGTGGATGTTGATTTGACGGGCCTAAAAGGAGAAAAGGTCAAGTGAGTTGTGGAAATGGACTCTAGAATGCCCAAGTCTACATAACCTCAGGTTCAGTTCATTTTCTAAGGCCCATGCACTATAAGCCAGGCAGGGTTGCCATCCCCATTGCAGAGAAAGCCAACCAGGGCAGTGGCTGGCTGTGTCATGGTCTGGAGCTAGACACAGGCTTGCCGTCTTAGCTCTGTCAACTGCCAGTGAGCTCAGGTAAGCTACTTAGTTATCCTGTGCTGTTTCCTCTGTAGGATGGAATGACAGTAATAGGACTTACATCTTTTGGCTAATGTCAAGATTATGAGTGCATGGAACACAGCTCAGCACATTATAAACACTTAATAAATGGCTCTCATCCAAAACCCGCCTACTCAAGGACAGAGCAAGAACCATTTGCTCCACAAAGGACTGACAGCTCCTCAGGTTGCCAACCTGGCCCTGCTCTCCCATCTGTGCCCATACCTTGTCCACCAAATCCTTCTCAGGCACTTCAATAGTGTCCTGCTGGACCCCAAAGCGGTTGCGTTGGTAAGTCACCTGCTCTGCCACTAACTGCTTCAGTATGAAGAGCAACAGCTCATTGTTATCACGCCGGAACGAAAGGTAGCGGGCAAATGTCTGCATAAGAAAAGCAAAAAAATCACCATCCCTCCCTACTAAGACACTCAAAAACACTACAGGATGTGGATATCCCACTCCTTGCCATCCTCCCTTCACCACCAGCAAAAGCAGCCAGATCGGAAGCCTCTGATGCCAGGCAACACAGCAAAGCCCAATGTCCAGGCCAGCATCTGGGATGCCCATGTGTAGCCTCCTGTGTCAAGGTGTCCTTTAGCTCCAAAGAGACTTCGCCTCAGCTCACACCTACCTTCCGCATGCTGCGCATGACACTAAACTTCTGTGTGTCAATAAAGCTCTCCAGCATCACACGGATAGCCATGTTGACGTCGTCCTCTATCACATAGTCCCGCAGGTGGATGCGTGCATGGGCCTCTGCCATGCGGATCATGGACTCAATGTGCCGCACTGTGATTGGGATGCTGCCTGTCGCCTAGAGAGAGTAGCACCAGATTTCCTCAGGCAGGAGAGGCGAGGAAAATGAGTGGCAATGCTAGCAGCCCAAATCCAGAGGGTACATCTCACCCCGCTATGGGAGAAGTGCTCAGGAGAGCCACAAGGTGAGCTCACTTTCTGTTCCTTCTTAAAGTGTGGAAATAACCAGTGGATGCCTATGCTACAGCCTGCCACTATCATGCCTGCACATTCTGCTTCCACTAGTTCACTTATATGTATCCCAGAGTCTATTATACTTGGGGCCTGCTGTCTTTGTTACTGTCGTGTACCAAGACCTGCAAAGTCCAATGCAGCATAAGTGAGAAAATAAGCTGCTGTTTCTATGAAAACTAAGTTGAATGCTCTGAGAAGACGTGATGAAGTTAAAAGGTTAAACAGAAAGAAAAGCTGCTGTCTTAATTAGGTGGGTGAAAGGATGAAGCTACAAGGATTCTGCATTCCGAATGCTTGCAAGCTGCCTTTAAATCCTTACCCCACCATGGAAGAATCAAAACTAGTTCAAAGCACCTGTTCCAAGTGAGATTTATGCAAGTCAAACATGGAACTTATTCAGTGGCCATCAAAAGACCTTCTCTATACCCACAGAACAAATGCATACACATTTAAGTGCCATCTGAAACAAAACTCTTTAGGCACAAGATATGCAAGTTTCTTTTGTAAGGCTTTCCCGCTTTAGCACTTTTTCAATTAACTGACTACCAGGGTGAGAAAGCTGCTGCCTGCTTCCTGCCCTGCTTGGCCCTCCAGCTCCCCAGGCCTGTACCATGGATTCTTTCCTCAGGTCGCTGTACATCTTGGCCACCTTGTCCTGATCCATCTGATTGAGCTTCGGGTGGACCTTCTCCTTGGCATAGATGATATACTTCTTCAGGACTTCCTGTGGCAGGGGCTCCACACCATATGTGTTGGGCATGGTGGGCTCTGGGGTGCTGCCCAGCCTCTCCTCCTCCTTGTTGCTAGGGTGGTGTCTAACGTGGCTGCCAACCACAAAACGGGCCAGCATCTCATCCTAAGACAAGATGGAAGAGGGAAGGTCACAGGGGGAGTCTTGTGGCCTTGTGGAAGTCAGCTGGCTGAAAGAAGTGCAAACTGATGTGCTTCAGAAGAATATTCTCTCAGCACTTATATCCCACACCTATTATGTGCAGCTCCAGGTACCCGGGTCCATTGGTAAATGTGACCAAGACCTCATGGAGCTTACCTCTTAGTGAGGGTAGAGAAGATAGTTTTAAAAATTAACTACAGAAAGTAACATGTGCTAAGAAGAGAAATGGGACAATGGGTGAGGGTCTGGAAAGACTCTAACTCTGTCATCTGATAATCCCCGAGAACTGCATTCCAGGAAGAAAAAAAGAGCAAATTCAAAGCTCTGGCAACTTTAAGGTGTGGCTTAAGTGAGGGAGCAGAAGGAGAAACAAGAGCAGAGATTTCGTAGGAACTGCAGCAACAGCAAGGATGGTGGATCCTCTGAGAGTTATAGGGAAAGCTGCCAGCAGGTTTCTTAAGGGAAAGTATGACATGACTTATGCTTTGAGAAAACAGGCTGGTGCTCTAAATGGGCATGAGAGTAGAAGCCAGGAGACAGACTACCACACACCACACTTCAGTCAGAGCAAGAGAAGCTGGGTCTCAGGCTATAGCAGAGTACAGCAGAAAGTGGATGAACTCAGGCAGCAAGACCATCGGAACTTGGTGGCAGAGTGTGGACTGTATTGGTTGTGCTGGGTGGGTAGCTGGGAAAGGGGAGCCAGTGAAGGAAAGAGAAACCAAGGATGACTTTGGACATGAAAACAAGAGTGGAAAACTTACCATGGTCCATGTGGTAGCCCCTTTCCTTGTGCCTGGCACACCACTGGCCCCAAGCTGCACTAGAGGTCCCCAGAACTTACTGCATGGAACCTGGGATGGGGGGGTTAGGTACCTGGACTGGGTCCACTGTGTCCCTCACCACACACAGGATGTCGAAGCGGGAAATGATGGGCTCTGTGAGGTCCACGTTTTCCGAGAAGGTCAGTGAGGGGTCGTAGCGGCCCCCTGTAACACAGAAGAACCTCTCTATCAGGGTGCATACTCCCAAAGATGCTCTTTTTGAACCACAGAAAGTTCTCTCCAACCCCAAATTGCTTCAGTGACAGAAGGGGAAGAGAACTTTGGTAGAGGAACTAGAAGATGATGGAGATTCTGTGCCTGCTCTCTGTAAGGCATTCCAGATGACAGAAAGAAAAGGGCTTTCCCCAAGCAATGGCCTAAAATAGCCTTGAGACAGAAAGCATACTTGTCTCCTGGCAGGAACAGCTAACCAGACAGGCAAGGGTGCCTGGTTGGGATCAACAACCAACTGTACCCCCAACTTAAGACAATGAACTAGATTCTGCTCTCGGGTCTTATGAGAAGAACGGCAACAGGTGGTTCTGAGAACTTAGCTCAATCCAAGGGTCCCCACTTCCCAGTCTGGCAGGATACAGATGAAAAAATTGCCTTCTGTTGCTTAATTCCTAATTCTGATCTGCCACTGGATGAGTGATGATGCAGGTTCTTGATTCACAAAGCCAGGGTCTCTCTGCGTCTTGTCCCCCTTGGCAGGCCCTGTGCCCCGCCAGCTATCGTGCCAGATATACCTATGGGGTTGGCAGCGGCAATGACGGTGCAGCGAGCCTGCAGGGAGGTGACGATGCCGGCCTTCGAGATGGAAATACTCTGCTGTTCCATGGCTTCGTGGATGCTGGTTCTGTCTTGGTCATTCATCTACAAGAGCCAAATACATGATTCTCCTTGACATGCCACAGTAACACTTGTCCCCCACTGAGGGCTAAACCAACACACTTTAAGTCCCATCACCTATAAGGTCCAGGACCCACCTTGTCAAATTCATCAATGAGACATACTCCTCGGTCAGCCAGAACCAGGGCTCCAGCTTCTAAAGTCCACTCCCGGCTGACAGGGTGCCGCTGGACATATGCTGTGAGGCCCACAGCCGAAGCCCCCTGGCCCGTGGTGAAGATGGCGCGGCTAGACACTTTCTCAACATATTTGAGGAACTGAGACTTGGCTGTGCCAGGATCTCCACACAAGAGCACATTGATATCGCCTCGCACCTTGTGCTTGCCCCCTGGAGGAGACAAGGATGGCAACAGAGGGAATAGGGACAAAAGGAAGGATATAAAAATTTGAGGGATATAGGGCTTATCTCCAATTTCTCAGCTTAATATGAATGGCAAAGGAATATTCTCTCCAAAAAGGGATGCAATACCCTAGGCCCAGCAATCCCACTTCTGAGCGATGAACCCAGAAAAATGGATACACAGGAAGGTGAGTATAAATATCTTCTTTATAAATGTAAAAAACTGAAAGCAATTTAAATCTTCTTCAACAAGAAGGGTAACCAAATACATTATGCTATGTGGACCACGAACAGTAACAAGCATGAACTTGCTCTGTATATACTAATGCCAAAAGATGTGTTGCTTGAATGATAAAAAGTAACCCAGATATTTTATGCAGTCATTTATACACACATACAGTAACTGTAAATAGAAATGTGTGTTTTACAAAATACTGTGTTTTCTAAGTATGCATGTTAAGTCTATGAACAGCCATACAAAGGACTGGGAGTGCACGTACCACACTGACTAGAGGAGTGACCTATAGGGACGGGACTAAAATTAAAAAGGGTGGTCAACAGTCACTGGCTTTTCTGGGACTCTGAACAATTTAAGAGGATGTAACATAAACACAAATTCATGTATTATTTTTAAGTTAAAACAATTTTTAAAAGATAAAATTTTAAAAAATAAGAGACGCAAAGATGTATTTGCTCATTACAAAGGAAGGCAGTGGTAGAGGTAGAGACATGGCAACACCGAAGACGCCATGCCTGTGGGCTATGTTCTCCCTGTGATGACTGAGCCTACATGGTCTGGCCACCTCTTAACACACATTAAATATAGACTCCTTCCTTGTCTGACATGTAGAACCTGGTTCCTATTAAATTCCCTGTAGAGGCTGCTCACCTGGGTTTTTGGGCTCCCCTCCAAACAGAGCGAGTGCCAGGCCTCTCTTGATATCTTCATGCCCGTAGATGGAGGGAGCAATACTGGCAAAGATCTGAGAAAGCGGAGAGGCATGGGTACGGTCTGGACAGAAAACCCACCTGTTCTGGTCTCAGGGGATGGGGAAGTCTCCAGCACCAAAGCACCCACTCCACAGCTGCTTAAATTCCACAAGGCCCCAGCATTAAGTGCTGCCCACTGACTACGGGCATTGCCATTAGCTGGCTCTTTCGGAAACTCAGCGAACTTTAAAATTTAAAAGAACTTTTTGGTTAGACCCCTTTATGTTGTCCCAGTTCAGAAAGGACTACCCTAAGGTTACAGATGAAGAGTAGAAAGGGGACAAAATCCAGGTTCTGACATTAGGAACACCCCTTACAGGATTTCTGTAGCCTGCCTCAAGCCTCAGTTTCCTCTAATGGAAAAGTAACACTACCCAATTCACAGGTGTTTGTGAACTCTAAGTGAGGTGTTTATACAAGTGTCTGGCTCCTGACTGGGCTGTGATAGAGAAATAGAATACAAAGCCAGGTCTGGCATGGAAAAAACCCAAGTGTCCTACAATGGATGGATGAATGAAAAAAAAAAATGTGGTATACATACACAGTGGAATACTAGTTAGCCATAAGGAGGAAATACTGCTATTTGCAGCAACATGAATGGATCTTGAGAATATCATGCTAAGCAAGGTAAGTCAGAAAAAGCAAAGAACCATAGGATTTCACTCATATGTGAGAGATAAAACAGAAAGCAAGAAATGAACAAAATGATCAAACAGAACTCACCAACATGGACAACAGTATGGTGGTTACCAGAGGGCAGAGGTGCAGGAGGGATTGAAGAGGCTGAAGGGGGTCAAATATATATGGTGATGAATGGAAGCTACATTTTGGGTGATGAATACATGATGCAACATACAGATGATGGACTATAATTTTGTACACTTGAAACATAAACACAGAGTATCTGGAAGACGAGGCCACCAGAAATTCAGGTCACTTCAACTGGTGAGCCAATGAAACATTCTCCATTTCTCTACGCAAAGGAGAGGGGAGAGAGGGAGAAGACTGCAAAATCTGCTGAATGTTAACGATGAAACTAGAGACATTTCTTGCTGATGGGAGCCGGCTTCCCCCTACACATGTGGCATGGTTATACCTTCACTGTTCTCTACCTTTCCACCCCTCTGTAAAGCACTGCATCTTCACAGGTCAGACTGAGTGACTTGGGAAGCACCAGGCTCTGGGGGAATGAGGACTCCGATGGAAAATCAGCACTGGAAGTGCTGAAGGAGAACCCACCCCCAAAGCACTGGATCCAGATGTCTTGCCTCTGCCAACGGCCAAGGGGAAGTTACTCTCTCTGGCTTCTCTGGAAGCACGAAGATGGGGGAAACCCAATTCTGGGCACTGGTGCTGGGGCTAGGGGCCTGTAGTACAGCCACTATTTTGTGTACAGCCACTCTCCACCACAGCCAGGAGTGTGACTGGCAAAACCTCCTGGAAACAGGACCCGCTGGCACCACTCTGGTTCTGTGCTAGAAATGCTTCCTGCCACTATTCTATGTAATATATTAGGAGCGGAGGTCTGTTTCCACAGTATTATAACTTTTCTGATTCTTTATTTGGCCCTAAAATTTACTGTAAAACCTAGTCCAAGCAGAGGCTCTCAGCACTGTTAGCATTAGTGGCTCACAGTGGTCCAGGCCTAGTGCATCTAGAGGCTAACGTTCCCAAATACTGTTTCCCACTGAAAGGAAAGAATACTTCCCACAGGGTGTTTGGAGAAATAGCTGATTCCAGGTCTGGAGAAGGAAATATACAGTGTCTGGCACAAATAATGCCCCCTTTTTATTACAAAATCTTACGATAAGCATGTAATTCTGTAACATGTCACACTCAATCACACCATAGGACATTTTGTTCCAATTTTAAAACTATAAATTATAACACCGTATTATTACCCTACCAATCACACTCAAGCAGGTGTTAATTCTGCTGGGCCATGTACAAGAGGAGCCTGCAATAACAGCAACAAAACCTCAATGACATTAAACCCTACAACTTTATAATGACAGTGTCACCTCACAAGGTAAACAATTCATCCTTTTGAACCAATTCATTATTTTGAAAATCACTAAATAAAGGGAAATCAAACATCCTGCTTTCCCTATAGGAGTTCCACCCAGAGATAGTCAATATAGTTAAGAAGAGCAGTTTCTCTATGTAGAAGTATTCCAGCAAATAAATGAAGGAAGATTTGGAATTAGAGACTGTATTTTGCACCCCTCATGAATGGTCAGATTTAGCCAAGGATCATCAGTGGCTGCTAATGTCACAGCCCTATGCACTATGCCTCCTGGGGGAAAATTGCCTCTGCAGGAGTCTTGCTTTGGCCCCCACCCAAAAAGGAAAAAAATTCAAACACAAGTCTGATGGAGCATCTATATCTGATCCCCACTTTACAGAAAACAAGCAACAAGATTATGTTCAACAAAGACGTAATCAGCAAGATCTAAACCATGAAAATGAGACAGGACAAATGATGCATTGTCTTGTTCTTTAATGACTGCGAGAAGGGATGAAAAGGAGATGAAAAATGACCAAGACAGATCAACCAATCCCAATGTGTAGACTTTACTGGGAAACTAACTCCAAGAAACTTTAAAAAAAACAAAACAGTAAGATAGTTAAGAAAACGTAGGCCAAGAACCTGTATCCAGCAAGAGTACTTTACTCCTCCCTCAGAATGAATAGATCAGAAATTGGATGGTTATGACCAAAAAATGAAGGCTTTCATCCAGCACCCCTCCCCGATTGTCAAGGTGCCGACTGAGGATGACATCGGGCACCTAGAAATAGATGCTATGGCCCATCTAAAGGAGGTCCTGGAGTACAATGTTGTCAGAGGCAAGTACACTAGGGGCATGACTGTGCTGACAGTGCTACAGGACCTGGTGGAACCAAGAAAGGTGGATGCTGACCGTCTCCAGCAGGCTGTGACTGTGGGCTGGTGTGTGGAACTGCTCCAAGCTTTCTTCCTGGTGTCTGATGACATTATGGATTCATCCCTCACCCGATGGGGAAAGATCTGCTGGTATCAGAAGCCAGGCATAGGTTTGGATGCCATCAACGATGCTATGCTTCTGGAAGCATGTGTCTACCGAGTGCTGAAGTTCTGCTGCCAGGAGCAACCCTATTACCTGAACCTGATCGAGCTCTTCCTGCAGAGTACCTATCAGGCTGAGATTGGACAGACCCTGGATCTCATCACAGCCCTAAAAGGCAATGTGGATCTTGGCAAATTCACTGAAGAGATACAAATCTATTGTCATGTGTAAGACAGCTTTCTACTCCTTCTACCTTCCTGTAGCTGCTGCCATGTATATGGCAGGCATTGATGGGGAGAAGGAACATGCCAATGCCAAGATCATCCTGCTGGAGATGGGGGAGCTCTTTCAGGTTTAGGATGATTAACTTGACATCTTTGGGGACTTAAGTATGACAGGCAAAATTGGTACTGACATCCAGGACAACAAATGCACCTGGCTGGTGGTTCAGTGTCTGCAACGGGCCTTTCCCGAACAGCGCGAGATCTTGCAGGAGAATTATGGGCAGAAAGACGCTGAGAAGGTGGCCTGGGTGAAGGCGCTGTATGAGGAGCTGAATCTGCAGGGTGTGTTTCTGCAGTATGAGGGAGACACAGCCACCTTATGGGACTCATTGAGCAGTACTCACCGCCCCTGCCCCCAGCCATCTTCCTGAGGTTAACGCACAAAATCTACAAGTGGAAAAAGTGACCTAGAGACAACCAGGGTAGGGAGGGGAGGTTCTCGACTGATTACAGTGAATCCCCACTTAATGTCATCTATAGGTTCTTAGATACTGTGACAAAATTCTGCCATTGGCTAATTTATGTGGACACGAGTTAACTTCCTAGAGCTTATTTCTGGTCACAAAAAAACCATCCAACAATGCTAATATTAAACACTGAAATGTGAGCTGTACACACATTTAAGGAATGAATAAAAACAAGATTAAAAAAAAAGTAAACACAAACCAAATAACTGATACAAAGGAATTGCTAATTATTTTGTAAAGTGTGACGGAGGTATTATGACTAGGTTTTAGTAGAGTCTTTTAGTGACACATACTAACAGTTTCAGATACAATACTGGCACTCGCTTGGAAATACTTGAGTGGGGAGTGGGTTTAAGTAGAGGAAACAAGCCTGGGCAGACTGGGACAACTGGTGAAGCCGAGTGAGTGATGTACAGGGGTTCACTATACCATTTCACAAAAACTTATGAAAATTTTTGAAATGAAGTTTAAAAATATGGCTCACAACTTGTGCTAGGTATCCCACATAACCCACAATAACTGGATACTCATATGCACCCATCCAAACTGATTACTGTATGGAGGGAGCAGAGTGAAGTCATTGGGAGACTCTGAAGCCAGATTGCCTGGGTAGAAACCCTGGCTCTGCCACTATTAGCTATGTGATGTGGGCAACTTATTTAACCCTTGTTCCTTAGTTTATTCATAATCAATAAAATGGACACAAATGACACCTGGATTATAGGATCATTATTACTACCTGGAAATTACCTAGACAATTGCCAAGCAGATGCTCCGTGCTCGATACATGTAACAATTCATTTATTAAGCCCTTATATGCATTGGGAATATTGGGAGATGGTCTTCCCTGGATCTGCCATCCTCCAACACGTTGTATGGGTGTGCTGAAAATGTCTGTCTGTGATCTCTTTATGCAGACCACTTCTTAGAGCTGTTTTTATAGTGGGCACCCTTGCAGGGCGAACTCCTGTCTCCCCCCAGCACTACAAGCAGCAGCCCAAGTCCCGTTTGCTGTGCATGGCAGGTTCCCAGGCTGTTACCCTCCTGTAAAGCATCCATGCATACAGGTGGGCCTCCCTGTGGAGCAGGAAGGCAAGGAGCAACTGTGTTAATGTTTACACTGCTTAATGTGCCCTATGGCTGACAGTTATATTAGAAGGTATCAGGCCAACTTAACAGCTGGTATGAAGGATAAATTCAAACCCAAACCTGCCAGGAAGTTATCACAGTGCTTCCCATTAATTATTTCACTTAACCCTTAAGCTCATGCTCTTACTTCTCTGTGTGCACTGCCCATTACCCCTCTGAACACCTACCCACCCACCTGTATCACCGCTGTGAGCAGGAAATAATGTGCTGGAAAGTGTACGGTGCCAGGCCCCAGGCTATTTTTATCCTTGAACTGGTCCTTTATGCTTTTTAAACACACTATCCTGGCACCTCCATCCAGTTTTTATAAACTGTCAACTTTTTAAACAACTATAATAGTAACAACAGCTAGCTGCTGAGCACTCCACACTCCACTGTGTTCATCTGTTTAATCTTCAGTAACGACTCTGCGAGTAGATACTATTATCATCTCATTCTTAGATGGGGCAGTTCATCTGATCATACAGGAGATTATGCCAAAATTCAAATCCTGATGAAAATATGAGCCCCATGAGGGTAAGGACCACGTCTGACGTTGCACCAAGATCCCAGAATGTGGCCCTGGAAGGTATTCCAAGACTGAGTATGTTGATAGAATCGAAGTCCTTGTCCTCCCGAGGCTGGCAGAACATCTGTGACTCCTGTGGGTGCCCCAAATCTTGGCAGACTAAGAAAGGCTGCCTAGACAAAGGTGAGTCCATCAGACTCTGGGAGCTTACAAAGGGAAGGATCCCATTTGTTAAATAAGCCACTAGAACCTGAACTGATTCACCTAAACTGAGGACCTGGCTCTTTAGGAGCAGAAGAGCAGAGGCCAAACTGTTCTGCATTAAAAACTGAATAGAAGTGGAGAGCTGAAGCAGAGAGAGAATGGAAGGAAAAAGAAATTAAGAGAACTGTGAGCTTGAGAACACACCCTTGGCAGATGGTGATGCCTGAGCAGGTAAAATGGCAGAGGGCTTGTATGAACAGAAATTAACATTATATTTGTTATTTGTGTGCCTATAATATTAATCCCCTTCTTCCCAAACTTCAGTAAAAATGTCTACATTAAAAAAAACAAACCCTGCCCTGGCTGGTGTGGTTCAGTTGACTAAGCACCAGCCTGTGAACCAAAGGGTCGCTGGTTCGATTCCCAGCTAGGGCACACGCCTGGGTTGTGGGCTGGGTCTCCAGTTGGGAGTGTGCGAGAGGCAACCGATGGATGTATCTCTTGTATGTCGATGTTTCTCTGATTCTTTCTCCCTCCCTTCTCCTCCCTCTAAAAAATAAAAATCTTATTAAAAAAAAAAAAAAGAGGTAGTGCTCTTCCTGGAGAAGACTGTGGGTAGGATAGAGTCTGACACCTAGGGACGCCAACATGAGATGAGTTATTCTTACTGCTTTGCTTCCATTTCAATGTTGAGCCTGGGCTCCACACGTATGATGAATCCTTACAACCCTCTCCTAACAGGAAGGGGAAACAGGCTCAGACCAATCCCTGATGCCAATATTGAGTGTGGGGACCCCCATCAAAGCAAGTTTATTGAGCTCCCACTGGGTGTAAAATAAAAAAACCCCTCAGTTTCCAATACCTCGCAATCAAGACTGAGGTTTCAAGGCAGGCTTGGAATAGCAGCCTAGGCTTGGGCAGCAAACCCTGGGCACTCACAACACACTCAGCAAACCTCTGGTTTCCTCACAGAGCACAGCAGCCCCAAGGCCTTCCACTTGCCTTCTCCCCAATCTGCTGGTCCTTCGAGAGGCTGGTGATCATCTTCACATCTTCATCAGTCAGTTCCCCCACGGCAACCTTGTTGTCCTTTTTGGCCACGTGGTTTGCTAAGATGACTGTGGCAAAGACGGGGAAGCCATTAGCAGTGTTGAGGGAACCGTCATAGTTGTTGTGGTAGATACCGGTCAGCTCCTAGGGAGAGAGATCACATGGTCAGGGAGAAACAACTTCAAAGTGGGAGCTGGGCCTACCTTCCACACCTGGCTTCATCCAGTTGCTTCCCTTCTAAGTCTTCCACACTACAGACATCAAGATGAGAAACTCAACAAAACCAAAGCACAACCAGTCCTCAACTTCGTGTTCCAGATAGCCAGTCCACTACAAGGGTCCTTCAAGAACTCATCTCAGCCCACTCCCCAAATGCCATCAATCCCTCCCTGGCTTGCCAGAAACACTCACACAAATCTTTTTAGCAACTTAGTTCCCTCCCAGCCCACTCCTGGCCACATACTATCTCGTCTCCTGGCTTGCAGCTGTCCACCAGGTCGGCGAGGAGAATAGCGTCTTTGGAACGGGGCAGCCGGCCAGCCGCCACTTTGCCAGGACTCTCCTGAATGCGAATGCGTTGGTAGTTCTGATAGATGGTCTGTGAGGGACAAACAAAAAGTCATGGGATCTGTCCCTTTGAGGCAGACTTCATATTCCTCCAAGCATTGAATTATGTCATCTGATCTTGACTGCAGCCACACGAGGGAATCAGCAGTGTTGTTATTCCCATGTACGGACTAGGAAACAGAGAACCAGAGACAGCAAGGAGGGATCTCACTGTAACCAGCACATAAATGGAAAGTCCCTGCTCCAGACACCACCACTCAGATTCCTCCTGATTGCTGAACAGTCAAGCAACTGTTACATGCCACAGAGCTGAGCCCTCATGTATATGAAGCCAGGCTGCCTAGGTTCAGATCCTGGCTCTATGGTTTACTCTGTGTGATCCTGGGCAAATCGACAGCCTCTCTGTGCCTTATCAGCAGAATGGAGATGCTAATATTGCCAAATGCAACCTCCCAGTGAGGGTTAAATCAAGTTACATGCAAAGTACTTAAACTGATGTCAAGCAACAAACAGTATTAGATTATCAAGTATGTGCCAACATTGTGCCACGCAATTTAATGTCCCTTATTGCACTTACTGTCTAGAAAAGAGACCACATAACAGAGCAGTTTGCTCTGGGTCAAAATGCCTGACTTCTAATCCTTTGAGTCACTTCTGGGCTGATCCCAGCCAATTTCTTCAATTGGCAAAACAGGGTAATATTGCCTTCCTTATAGGGTATGATGAAGACTACATAATTTTCACCTGGCACCTGAAAAGTCCTCTAGAAATGTAGCCTCAAGCTCTGCTCCTGTGCAAGAGATTTTTGTGAAGGTGGAATATATAAAGTAGAGAAGTTAGACAGGGCAGGGAAACCTCAGGAGAGGCATAGGCTCAGGTCAGGTACAATCTGGCAGCTGTCTCTCACCAGCAAGCCGTACCTGAACTTTTAAACAGGTCAGTTTTTGGCTGTGGGCTATCACAAGCATGATTTCCCAGGCATTTTCTGGCAAGGCAGCTCTGGAAAGGGAACTTCTCAGAAGTGTAGAGCAGTAGAGGTTAACAGCCAACGCTTGGGGCAGCAAGGCACAAAGGCGATCTGTGCATCCACTGCAGGTGCCGTGACTTTACAGATGAAGTTGTTGAAGTACAAAGGCATATGTAACAAGCCTGGGGTCGTAAGGCACAGAGGCTTTCAGCAGCATCTCTCGATATGCCACAGCAGTGTCTAAGATAGTTATAATCCAGAGGCCCCAACCAAAGGCCCAGAGAGGCAGGTACCAGATATGTCAAGAGGAAGTCTCAATGGGACTAGAGGTGCCCCATGTAAATGATGGATTGAAAAGCAGGTGCCCTGCTAAGGGTGCAGGTGGGCAAGAAGTGAGGCCAGTTTAGCCAGATCTTCCCATTTTTTTAAGAGAAGCCATAAACTTTTGTCTTAAACAAAAATTGTCCAATTTTTAAATACTGGCTTGAGTTTTTGAGAACACTATGTGGGCAAAACAGGCTGGCCAGACAGATGTGGTTTGCCCTATGGTGTGCCCAATACACAACGCCTTCTTGCTTCCCTCAGCTGCCTATGCTGGTTTTCCAAACTGCCTAAAGTGTCAAGCAGGCCCTACACACCAGGGACTCCTGAGAAGGGGACAGCCAGCAGCCAGTGCTGTGCACTTGCTCACCTCTTCCATGTTGACTTCAAAGGGGCCAGCTGATTGGCACTCAGGGCAGGAGCCAGGCTTCACCTCTTGGTTTTGGGACTGACAGAAAGGCCCCAGCACGAAGCTACACTTGTTGCAATTATACTTGACCATGCTGAGTTGGGGCAGGACGCCTGTGCAGCTGGTCACCACCCCACTTGTACGGATCAGCTGGTTCAGGTGCAGCTGCCTGTGGAGATGAAAGGGCACATCAGGGGCCTGGAGTCCCGATGCTCCTCCCATGCACTCCCTCTGTAGAGGTGAGGACTGCACGTGAGGAGTGCCATTGTGAGGTACCAAAAATCTGGGGCCTGGCACCACCAGATCAAATCCATTACACCTCACGCTGTGCAAGCCAAAACTCATGGCTAAGGGCTCTCCTTGGCTGCACCTATCTGCCCATACTACTGCCCTGTCAAAGTTCTCTGGAATGATGCCCGAACCAGAGGGTGTCGAGGACTGGGCTCTCAATCCCCACCCTGCCCTCAGCTTACCTCAGTGAGCGCAGCTCTTCCACCAGAGGCAGATGGGAGATGCGCACATGGATGTGGCTAGCAATGCGGTCATACTTGGGGTACATGGCCAACACGACCTCCAGAGCAGCCTCATCAAAGATCTGCAGCATCTCTGATGGTGCTTCCGGCAGGAAGTATGCCAGGACATGCTCCCTGGCCGCCAGGTCCTCATAGTTCACCACCAGGCTCTCACGGTTCTCTAAAGGCAGAAACAAAACTGAGCGTCAAGCCAGAGAAGGCAATTTCCATCTCACTGTGTAAGCAGAGCCTGGCCCACTCAAGTCCTTGACTTCAAGCTGGAAAGCTCATCTTTCATTTCTAAGTCTACCTTGTTTTGGCTATGTGACTTACATTAAGTGACACAGCTTAAGCCTCAACTTGCCAATCTCTAAAATGAGAATGTCACAGACTATTAAGTCACTGGGGAGATTAAGAAAAATAACACCAGTAAAGTGCCTAATACAGCAGGGTTGCAAACTGAAATGCCTGTAAGGGCCAGGAAGAAGACCAAGGAATAAATTGTGTCAAATGTTAAGACAAAGGGAGTGGAGGGAACAGCAGGAAACCAAGTATCGCATGCCTCCTTTTAAAATAATTCCTGTCACAAAGACACATGTGAATATTTTCTGATGAAAGTAGTATTTTTACATACAACCTGCCAAAGTTTAAACATGTTAAAATACACTTCTGTGATATAAATGTGCTCCCTGGACAGTCGGTGGAACATCCTACCTCAGAGCCGCAATACTTTTTGTATTTGTCTGAAAGACGGACATGGTAGGCTCCAGGCCCTAGCTCCTGTCCAATAACAGGCAAGTTATTTAATGTTTCCTGTATTTCAAGTCTCTATTTAATGTGCTGTTACAGGGTCAAAGTGCTAACTTTCTGCAGGAGAGTTTTGCAAGGTGGACTGGTGAGCAGAAGCCGAACCTTTGCACATGTCACTGATTCGCTCCTTGAAGACGTTGTGGCCATGGCCATCCACATGGGTGCGCAGGAAGTTCTTGAAGCGGTGGTGGATCTCCAGTCGGGGGCCTGCCATGCTCACCCACTCGCGCACAGAGTGGCCCTTAAGGTCCTCCAGGTTTTCAATGCTCTCGATCATCTCCTCATCCTCTTCACCATCCTCTGTGGCTCGTTCCACCTGACGGCGCTTCCGAGCAGGGCGATCCTCATCCTCCTCATCGCTGTCTGGGGATAAAAGGGACATACATCCTGGATAGATGTCTTTCCCAGCACTCTTTCCAGCACTCAGAGGCTCTGGAAGCAGGACTAGTCCCGTCAGGGTTGCAGACATCTCAACCTACCATACAAGAGCCCACGTCGCATGCGACCCAGGCCCCGGCTGGCCTCACGATCACGCTGCCGCATGACTCGCTCCGCTGCCTCCCTCTGACTGGCTGTCAGTTCCTCTATATCCTCATCATCCAGTGCCAGTCCGTCAGCTTCATAGGTGTCTATCTCTGGGATAGCACGGTAGTCCCTGAGAGAACCCCAAATGAACCCTATTAGCATTGAAAACAAAAACAAAACAACCCAAACTCCGCCCAGGAACCAGGCCTGTTCCAGAAGGCTCAGAAGCCCTGGCCTGGGTATCTCTGAAGAGTCTCCAGGCCAGAAACACAGAAGGCTCAATAGGATACTACAATATGGATGAACCTCAAGGACATTATGATCAGTGAAATAAGCCAGTCACAAAAAGACAAATAATGTATGAAATCCACTCTGGTAAGAGGAGAAAATTCTGGAGATGGTGACAATGGTTATGTAACAATGTGAGTGTACTTAATGTCACTGAACTGGACACTTAAAGATGGTTAAGATGAGGAATTTTATGGTATGCATATTTTTCCACAATAAAAAAGGGCTTCCCCAACCTAAATGCCCATCAGTAGATGATTGGATCAAAAAATTATGGTACATATACACAATGGAATACTATGCAGCAGAAAGAAAAAAAGAACTACTAACCTTTGCGACAGCATGGATGGAAATGGAGAGCATTATGCTAAGCAAAATAAACCAGGAGGCAAAGGACAAATACCATATGATCTCACCTATAAGTGGAACGTAACCAACAATACAAAGATACAAGGAAAATATGACCAGCAACACTGAAAGGAAAAGAAATCAACAGAGACAAGAGGGAAGGGGGGGGGGCGGGGAAAATGAAGGGAAGGGGAAAGTCAAGGAACATATAGCAAGGACTCATGGACAAAACCAAAGGGGAAGAGCTGAGGGAGGGAAGGAAGGAGGGGGCAAGGGAAAGTGGTGGGGGGTAGGCAGAGACAAATGTATTTGAAAAAATAAATTAAAAAAAATAAATAAAATCAATACTTAAAAAAAATAAAAAAGGGCTTCCCAAATAGCGTTAAGCACCCAATAAGAAAGAGGAATTGGAGGAACCACAAAACCTTCACATAGAAAGGTCTGTCAGAGAGCCAACCCAAACTCCCCCAGAGGGCAGGAATTTCCTCTCTCAGATAATGTTGCCTCAAACCCCTTCAAGTCCTGGGGAGGATCTTTATTCACATCAGCCAAACCAGCCTCTCTGATTTGCCCTCCAAAGGCTCAGGTCTCCTGTTCTCTAAGACTACTAAGTACTCATTTTCTACAATGTCATCTATGTGCAATTTGAAGGGGAATGATTCAGAAGATGAGGAAATGAGCATTAGAGGGTGATATGACTTTTGCCAATGGGTGTCAAAATACAGCCCAACTACAAATTGCAAAGTTTTTTCCCTGATACCACACCGCCTCCCTAAGATAATCCTCTTGAATTCTTCCCCTTTTCAGTTAAGTGGTAATTAGTGGAACTGCTACTATTTGGGGTTTTCTGGTTGTTTTTTTACTGTCAAACTACATTCTCAGCACAAATAATCCTATACTGCTGATGCCAGAAACAGAAGCCAGAGACAGGTACATTTCTAAGCTCATCTATTCTCAGGGAAATACATTCTCAGGGAAAAGGTACCTGACTCTTTTAGAATTTTCAGTCACATAAAATGTCCTCAGAAAAATTCTAATTAGTCCATAAGAAATTGATAAATCGGACTTGACCAAAATAAAAAACTTTTGTTTCAAAATAAACCATTAAAAAAAAAAGACAAGCCACATATTGAGAAAGTACTTGCAAATCATGTATCTAATAAATGACTTGTATCCAGAATAAAAATTTTTTAAAATTCTTACAAGTCAAGAAGGTAAAGGATCTGAATAGATATTTCTCCAGATATACAAACGTCCAATATGCATATGAAAAAATGCTCCACATTAAGTAACAGAGAAATGTAAATCAAAATCTCAATGAGACACTATCTCACACACATTAGGAAGGCTATTATAAAAAAACCAGAAAACAGGTGTTGGCAAGAATGTAGAGAAATGGGAACCCTCATACACCATATGTGGGAATGTAAAATGTTGCAACTGCTTTGGAAAACAGCCTGGCAGTACCTCAAAAGATACCACAGAGTTAGCATATGACCCAGCAATTCCATCCCTTGGTATTTGCCCAAGAAAACTGAAAACACATGTTCACACAAAAACTTCATAGCAGCATTATTCTTAAGCAACAAAAAGTGCAGAGAACCCAAATGTCCATCAAATGACCAAGGAGTAAAAAAAATGTGCTCTGTCCCTGCAATGGAATATTCTTCAGCCACAAAAAGGAATGAAGTACTGACATACACTACAACAAGGATGAACCTTGAAAACCACACCAAGTAAAAGAGGCCTGTTGTGAAAGCCAGTCATGTATTATGATTTCATTTGTGTGAAATGGCCAGAATTGGCAAATCTAAAGAGACAGATTATTGGCTCCCTAGTGGTAGGGATGGGAACCAGGATTAACTGGTAAACAGGACCAAGGGGATGAACATTCCCAATAAGGAAATGTTCTAAAACTGGACTGTGGTAATGGTTGTCAAACATAGTAAATTGACTAAAAAGCACTAAGTTGCATTCTTACAGAAGTAAATTTTAGAATATATTAATTATAGCTCGGTAAACATGAATGTTAAAAAGCCACAACAGCAAAGTCTAATTGGGCCCAGCTAGCTCAGATACCTCTATCCAGAGGCCACTGCAAAGGACCTCTCCTCTTGTCCTCTGCAGGGAAGGGGAGGCAGAAACAAAGGGTAGAGGATGATGGGGAGGGTTGTACTGCTTGAACAACTCCACAGAACACAAGGACCTGCCTAGGACTGATCTGTCCCCAGACTCCTCATTCTTCCACAGCATGGAATGTACTGCACACTAGGTTTGATTGTCCTGGATGACAGTGCTTAAGGCAAAGATCCAAATGGTCTAGAGTGCACTTGACAGTCCATGGGATGGCTCACAAAGGGCACTCCCTGCCGACTGTGGGATGGTCTGTACAATCCTCTCACACACACTAGTCTTGGAATCCCAAGTCCCAGAAAAGAAAGACCCGAAGCAGACTCCTCATGAGGCTCCTGGGCATTCATATAATTCTATTACTAATACACCTACCAAACGCTGGTTGTAAATACGAGGGTAAGGCAGCAGAAATCTAACCTTGCTTCTTTGCAAAACTTACTCCACTATCTTAGTATTAAGCCTCAATAACCTTTAATATGTTTAAATGTTTACTAACAAGTGTGAAAGAAAGTAACACAGGGCCTGGTAGAGATTAAGCACAATACATGTTTGCTGAATTGAATCTAAACCTTGGTTGATCAGAAGGCCACCCTCCCCCCCCCACACACAATGTTTCTTTGAAGTTGCAGGAAAACACTCAGCTGCCTGCTTCCTGTCCTTCCCAGCTGACATCTCTGATATGGTCCACCGGGTTACAGACCCCTTGTATCTTCTGGGGTACACATCTCATGGAGCTGGGGCTTACCCTGATCTCAAGAGTGCAGTCTTGGATTCAGCCAAGTTACATGGACCTATATTGGGGCCCCATGAACCTGTCCCCCCCCACGCCGAGAATCAAGATGCTGTCAAAGACCAGGTGCTCTGATTTGTCTCCTTTCCTAGTACCCAAAGCAAGGTCCCTGACACACAATGGGCTCTCTACAAAACTGTTGATTGCAGGGCCTCGAATGAAAGTACCTCTCCATGCCATCTCCAATAAGTTCCTCTCCGTCCTCGTCCTCTTCCTCCAGGGGCCCCTCTGTGCCCAGCAGCCCCTCAGACTCATCCTCAAAGGGAGGAAGGTCACGGCCAGGGCTGGATGTCAGGGCATCTGCTCTCCGGGAGCTTCGCCCAGGGCTGGAGGTGAGAGGATCATTGCTTTGCCCACGGCGGGCGGGGCTTGAGGCCATGGTGAAGGACTCAGATGATTCCTGCAAGAGAAGACCGAGAAGGTGAGGGCTGATTTAGTTTTCTATAAGGTGGCCCTCCCCACCAGTTATCCTGTGCTCGGCCACACCAAACTCCTTCCAGCCTCCTGACTTTGCACTTGTGTTCCGTCTACATGGAATGCTCTCCTCTGAGCTGAACCAATAACTTCTTAACATACAGGAACCAGCTCAAAATATTATTTCCTTAAACATCTGGTCACTCACAATACCCTGTGTTTTCTACATAACAAGGCACTGAAGATACCCCATTTGTTCATATACCTGTTTATTCCTACCTGTAAGCAAGCATTCCCACCCCTTTGAGCACCCACACTGTGCCAAGCACTGTGATACTAGAGCAACCAAAACATAAGAGGTCTGATGCTTACATATTGGTGGAAGGATCAGCCAATAAATAAGACAGAGACAAAAAAAATTACAGTAACAAGCGCACGAAAATGCGGAATCTTGTCTGTCCTGTGTTACAGCTAGTTCCAAGTATAGATACGGGGCCGAACCAGCATGTGCGTAGTGAGTAAATTATAGCGGTCGTGCGGCCCGAGAGGCTTTGGGATTCCAACGCTCCCCCGAGCTGGAGCGGGAGAGCCGGCATCACCAGGACTCGAAAGGCGCGGGGCCCGGTGGCTCTGTAGACCCCGAGAGAAATCAGTTCCAAACCAGAGCCTAGGGGCCCAGCCTCAGCCAAGGGGCCGATCCTGGGCGGCGGGGAGCAGGGCAAGAGCCCAGCGAAGGAAAGGACTAGAGGCACGCAGCGGCATCCCTCACCTCCCAGAGTTGCTGGCTGCTGAAGCGCGCCTCGCACGCCTGAACTCACCTCCATCTTACCGCCGCACTCCTCTCCGCTCCTCCAGCAACAACCAGCTTTCGCGCGAAAAGTGGCTCACGTGACCCGCCAGCCCGGGAAGCGCCAGAAGGAACGTAGCGACCTGACGTAAGCGTCTACGTGCGTCCCCCGGCGCAGGGGGCGGGCCAAGAGGAGGGGCCGCGCCCAAGGTTGCGAAGGCCCCGCCCACGACAGCTAAATGGTACGTGGCTGGTAGGCCTACACTGAGGGTCCTGATCAGCAGTTTGGGAGCTGAAGTTGTTGGTGTGGGCAGTGAGGACCGGCCCCAAATGCCGCGTAACCAAGCCATTTTATAGATGAGGCAACTGAAGTTCAGAGCCTTGCTTTGTGAGGTCTTACCGTTTTATGAGTGGACGATTTCAGCTTTCCCGAAAGCTCTCAGGCTGAATACTTCAAGCACGGAAACGCTTAGGGAATGGACTATAGGAAGCCACTTCGGATGTTACAGTAGGAGTTATCCTCACGGAGGGGGTTAAAAGTAGCGGGATGTTCCTGGTTAAAGAACGAGATTTGTAAAGATGTAGCGAGCATGGATGGCACAGTGAGTATCTGCAAACAATTTCATAGTTCAGGTTACACAGCTTGTGATGCCCAGGAAGGGAAAAGACTTGAGGTCGGAGAGCCCTGGTTACGAAAAATCTCCCAAGTCGTTCTAGGGAGTTGAAGCTTTATCCTGAGGGCAATAGAGAACCACGGAAGAGTTTTGAACAGGTGAGAGAAGAGCCAATGTTGGTTTTAGGAGAATCCCCCAGGCTGCCCCTGGATGGAGATGTATTGAACCAGGTTGGAGGCTGTTGCTGTGGTTTTTCTTCCAGTTGTAGGCAGCCCAGGCACGTCCCTTGGTGAGAGAGGCAGGACTGGTTCTTAGCCCTTTTGTTACTTTTGTGCAGTGTACAAACACCACTGGATGGGACCCAGAATGTGGGGCAGGAGGGGTGATGAAGACTGAAAATGTCCAAGGGATATTTGGCATACGGAGTCTCTTGGCTTTGGGGATTGAGGACAGCAAAAGGGAGAAACCTTGGATGACACCAGGATTCTGGTTTAGGAGACTAAGCAGATAATGACACAACCTCTGAGATGCAGAATGCAGGAGGAAGACAAATAAGTTTTGGGGGAACGAGGAAGAGTTTGTTTCTGGCCATGTTAAATATGGGTCCTGAGTGGAGATATCTGGGACTCTAGAGGGAGTTTGGGTTATAGCTGTAAATAGCCTTAGGAGTGGTCCTTAGGAATGAGTGGTTGGGTAACCAGATAGAGAGTGCAGTGAAGAGGGAAGAAGGTTCAGGCCTGGGACCCAAGAAACCCTAACATTTAAGAGGCACCAACAAAGAACGGTGGTCAGGAGTTGGGATTCTGGGAACCACTGAGGGAGAAGCCAAAGAAGAGATGGCAGATGGAATTGTATTATTTATTTAAGTGTAACAAATTATCTGGGAATCTAGCAGGTTAAAACAATCACTGCATATTATCTCAGTGGATGTGGTCTGGATGTGAGTTTGGTTTGGCTGGTGGTGCCTTTGCTTCAAGGCCTCTCACATGCTACACTAGTGGCATGTGAGAGCTCTAGTCTAATCTGAAGGCTCAGTTTAGGGAGGCCCTGCTTCCAAACTCCCTCCTGTGGCAGGTTTCAGTTCCTCCTTGAGTGTTTGATGAGGACTCTGTTTCACACTGGCTCTTGGGTGGGGGCCTTCTCAGTTTCTTGCCATGTGGACCTCTCCATAGGGCACCTAACAACAAGGTAGCTCACTTTGCTTGAAGCAAGTGAACAAGAGGGTAAGAAAAGCCATACAAGATAGAAGCCATGTCTCGAAAGTGATATCCTATCGCTTTTGCCATATCCTGTTTGTTAGAATTCAGTTATTAGGTTCAACCCACCGTCAAGGAGATGGGATCATTGGGGGCCACCTCAGTCTGCTAACCAGGGAGGTCAAGATTGTAGATGGGGTCAGTAGGTGACAAGCTGCCAAGAAGTCAAGTCTGGTAAGGAACCAGGAGCCACAGGTAGCCCTGGCAAGAGCAGGTCTATGCTGGGTCAGTGTCATACCCCACATTGGAGTGTTGTGGAGTAGAGAAATAAGACGGGTACATTTGAACAGTTCTTTGGAGAGAGAAATTCCTTAAGTATCTTAACCCTATGGCCTGGAAACTAACATGGGCCCATTGGATACTGTAGTCAACAATTAGATCCAGTGGCCAAAGGTCTCCCTCCATGTATGAGAGCTATTGTGGCCACTGCCAATTTACTACAACATGTAGAATAGACAATAAAAGTCTCCCCACTGACTTCATGTGCCTCATTTAGTGGAAGCCTTACTTAACTCATCATACTCAGCACCTTTCTGCTAGCAGACTAACCTATGAAGTTCTTTCATTGTCTTTATTTAATGTGAATATTGATCCCTACAGTACTCTGAATTCTACTATTCTTCTTCCTCTGTCTCCAATGAAACCCATCATGACTGCCTGACATCAAGACCAACTACTAACTCCTCACATTGATTTACAGGAAACAACTCTTGAAAATGCTGAATTAGTTTGGTTTATTGATGGTTCTTACCTGAAATGTAATAAGTTGCTATGGAGCAGGCTATGCAGTTATCTCAAACTGAGACTATTGAGGCCAGTCCAATGCCTCAGGAAATTTTTGCTCAACAAGCAGAGCTTTATGCATTAATTTGAGCTTGCAATTGGCCAAAGGTAAAACAGCTAACATACATACTGAGAGCAGGTACACCTTTGGTATGCCCTGTAAACAGAGGATTCTTGACTTCTTCCAGACAAAAGATAAAAAACAGTTCTTATGTTTTAGAACTCTTAGAGGCTATATCTTCAGCAATCTATAAAAGTCCCTGAACATTCATTGGCAAACACAGATGAAAGTAAAGGTAATCATTTGGCTGACACTGCTGCTAAATTAGCAGCATTAAAACAATCTCAGCCCCAATGGAAGGTAGCAGCACCTATGCTACCGGCTGAAGCAATTAGAGATTTAAAAGGTACAGAAGCACAACATTTAGATGTTCGACAAAACAGAAAGTAGTGGTTAGAACAAGGCTGTAAATTCGACCCTAAAAGAAGCATTGGTAAGTCCCAGCAATGACCCCCTCTTCCTTGACCGCATACATCATGTATAACAATATGTTCATGACTTAGTTCACTGGAACTTTGACAAATAGGTTTCTTGGGGAAAACAATACTATTAGAAGTCATCTCCAAATATAGCTTCCTGTTATACAAAAAAAAAAAAGGCAAATCTGCTCAAAGCATCACCCTGGAAAGCTCATTCATACCTCTTTAGGATATTCTTCCCTTGCCTCTTTGAGGTCTAGCAAATAGACTTTATTCAGTTGCTGCCTTATCAAGTATATGTTAATGATTTGTTAGTTTTCTCATTGGGTGGAAGCATTCCCATGCCAGAGCCTCAACAGAAGTAAAATATTCCTAGAGAAGATCTTCCCAGCTTGGGGAATTCCCACAGACCTTCGTAGTGACCGGGAAACTCATTTCACAGAACAAATTATACAATCTGTTTGTTAAGACCTGGCTGATTTTGCAATCATTCCCAGTCCTCTGGTCTTGTAGAATGTACTAATAGGGTAATCAAAACTCAGTTGGCGAAACTCATGGAGTATTTTCATCTGCCTTGGCCTAATGCTCTTCCCTTGCTTGGTATTGCTCAACCAAAGATCTGCTCCTTTAGGCAAATGTAGACTGTCTTCTTTTGAAATTATTACTGGCAGACCGATGAGATTAGGTCAAGGAATATATGAACCTGAACTATTGAAAGGAGACCGCCTGATTTACTGTAAAGAACTAATAAGGGCCATTAAGACTAGCAGCTCGTGGAACAATCTTTCCATTCATTGTGTGTTCCTGGGAGTTGAAGCTTTACAATGTCACAATTTTCAGATTTTGCCTATTGTAAACAGCATTCCCGTAGAGATGCCCTTCAGCCTTGATGGAAAGGGCCATGTCAGGTATTGCTAACAAACTCTTCTACTGCTTAACATAAGGGTATTGACTCATGGATTCATGTTTCCCTATTAAAAAGGACACGTGCCCTGGCTGGTGTGGCTTGGTTGGGTGTCGTCCTGCAAACCAAAAGGTTGCCAGATTGATGCCTGGGTTGTGGGTTCAGTCCCCAGCTTGGACATATGATAGATGTTTCTCTCCGCTTTCTCCCTCCCTCCCCCTCTCTAAAATCAATAAAACATAAAAATTTTAAAAGAACACTTACACTTGACTGGTCATCTCAGCCTTTTCGAGATCTTAGGCTGAAAATCTCTAAATAACCCAAGACAACCCCTAGAATTCTCATTCTTGAGTCAAAGCAGGCATCATGTGATATAAACGGTTCTCCCGAGACCTCTGACCAGGCCAGTCATACACAATTCCACCCAGCAACCCTTACATTTGGTCTTTCCTTTAACCACCTTTGCTTCATTTACTGATTGTATTGAAATCATAACTTAATTTTTGCCTGAAGAAACATCTTGAGAAAACATTCATTCTTTTCCTAGTTCTTTAGTCTAATTTCAGTATGAACACACTGATTCTTATGTCCGCTTACTGCAATGAATACCCTATTTGACCTTCGACACTGCTATCCAACAAATATCTAACAGTGCCAATTTAACAAACTGTTGGGTATGCACCTGAGCTAACCATATCCATGATGAACCAGAATTAGTGGATTGGACCTTAAGCATTGAAAGCTTACAAAACTTAACTGGAAGTAGCACTGATTTAAAGTCCTCCTATATTCTCAAACCTCTAAAAATGTTGATGGAACACATGACATTCCTGTAGCCAGATCCATCCATAAGTTCCCCCCAACCCACAAGGTAATATCCATAAATACAGTCCAGACTGTTACTGATAACTTCTTTGTTTTGAAAATAAAAACAGTTCAGGCAGAGTTTTGAGTTTTAATTTGCAACTACACCCTTGTATGTCTCTGATTACCTTTTGTTCACACCTCAGTGGGACTTACGTGAATACAATGTTACTTCTTACAATGTCTCTCTAAAGTGGGGAAGTCAGAGAATAATACCACTTGATCCTGGAAAGCAGATGTCCTTCCACTCCCAAATACAACTTGGGGACTAGATAAAAATGTGGTATTTGATGGAAAACAGATAAAATCTGTCTCTTAGGGAATACCAGTCCCAAAATTTGAAACAATCAAATCCAAGCTAATCTTTCAATCCTAACCCAAATATATAGAAGCCTCAGGTGCTCTTTAGGTCACACTGATAAATCACACAATGACTTTAATGTTGTCTATGTTTATGATTGTGATCATCTAACATACGGAAAACATGAAATCCCTGCTTCAGAAATAGGCTTAATACTTCTCTCAGAGACTGGGTTTAAGGGCCTAATTATGCACTCTCATTTGGGGGCATCAGGTGTTTCTTCTTGTGTGGGACTCAAATGTATGTCACCTTGACAATTTGATCGTAAGGGAGAAGTGGTATTGTCATGCCTGGTGACCTGATGCTGTCACCAGAAAGATTCTTCCTTCCTCTGCCATTA